CAAGCAGTGTTATATAACATGGAAAGATCTCGAATTTGGGAAAACGGATGAATTTAGGGGAACAGAACCAAATGTAGAATAGTTAATTTTGAGGTCGCCAATTATTTTTAAAGCAGCCATTGTATTTTGTTATATCTTACATATATATATATATGATGAGACTGATTACAACGAAAAAGGTACATTACTACATACCCATATACAAAATTTCAACGTTCTACGGCTACTCGCTTTTGTAACTTCGGAATATATGCCACACAGTAACATTAACACGCATTCAAGAGAGATTTTTTCGTGACATCTGTACATATGTATGCGAACTACATACATATGCACAGATGTCACGAAAAAATTTCTCTTGAATGCGTGTTAAATCCATTTTCCAATCTAATATGCAAACAAATAGTCCTCTGCTCTCTCCGTATGTACAGATGTTACGAAAAAAATTATTAAAATCGAGAGAGACCAAAATGTTTCGTGATTACCAATACTTCCTATACTTCGTGCAAGGAAGTAAAAAGGGTTATTTATTAGATGATTAGATGACAATCAAACAACCAATAAAACTAAAACCGTTTAAATGGTATAATTTTGAAAATACATTAAGTGCTAAATTTTAATAAAACATTTGTAATAACGTCATTTTTTAGAATCGTCAAATACCAGAATGGAATCTTTTAGTGCAAAGAAGCGAAAACATATCCTCGAAATATATGCCACACAGTAGCATTGATTCTACTATTAGTTTTTATGTCATTTAATAAAAGGTATATGTGAAAAATAAAGTTTGACATTTCTCAATAATAATCATAATTTAACTTCAAAACTTCATGCTCTTCAAGTGGTTCCTTTTCAATAGATGTCTTAAAAACAAGTAACTGAAATAAATTTGAATGCACATGCTCTGAAAATAGGGAGTAAAATCTGCTTTTGAGTAATATAATTAGTTACTTTCTATTTATTAACGGTTATAAAAACGGATTTATTAATACTAATAAAAGCTAATTTATATATGCTGACGAATTCTATACTTTAAAAGATATTCAAGGAAATTATTACCTTTTATAATATCACGAAATTAGCGAGTTTTACGCCATAAATAAAAATTCTATGGTTATAAAATTATGGCACTATACCAAGCGTCTCTATAATGAGTTCTTTGTTACATTTTGAAGGAGCCACTAATACACTCATATGACAATGCATTTAAAAATTACTTTCCATTTTAATAATTGCTTTACGACGGTAAGCCATCTTCCTCTTATTCTTAGCATAATTGCTGCTAGCAACCATTAACGATTTTTGAAACTACGTTTATGAAAAGCAATTTACTCTCTTTGTGATTTTAAGTGAAAACTGTACTTTAGAACGTGGAAATGTCTGCCCACGTGGGAGCTATTTAAAAGAACTCTTACATTCTTTCAGGAATTACTTTTAAAAGCTGCTGCGACGTTTCCAGGGTGACATGCAATTATTGATGTAATTGAGAAACTTTTCTGCTTCGTGAAAATGTTTCTGGTTGTTTTCTTTAAACTTCCCCGTCTAAATGTACAGCCATTAGTAATATACTCTTTGCATCTGTTTCGAGTTTCAAAGTTTGATTTCCGTTTTTATAATGCGGATACATTTTACTAAATTTTTAAATTATACAGAGAATAATAGAAATATTATTTCTGTCCTTAATTTTGAGAATTAAATATGTAGAATCAATAACATGAGGATGAGATCTGATCTATAATACGATATAAATTAATATTCTGCCACATATTTAAACAAATCTTTTAACTGAATCCTAATCAGTAGATGTAGACTTAGTTCAGTTGTCTCCATGAATAATAATAAATAACTGCCTTTTCGGTGCCTGCTACGTTTGGTCGTTGAAAATAATATTAAAGAATCGTTAATTTTCAACATATATTAAAGAAAGGACATTCGGGCATGTATAGCATAACTTCCAAATTCCTGAATACATACCTACCATTATGCCCGACTTAATAGACTTAAAATATAATGAAAATACAATTTACATCAAAATTGTGTTTAATGCTCCTAAATATGGTAATTATTTATTAGATAATTTCCATATCTGAGCAAAGAACTTAAAATCTATCTATCTTTTTAGGATGAATGATTTCGTGTAAGACTTTCTGGAAGAGACTAATTTTATTCATGTTGCAAACGTCAAAACACGAAAACCTTATTAGATGCTTGTTTAATAAAGTAAATATACTCGATAAAGTATTGGAGTATGTATTTATGTATCCTCCCCAAGATAACGATTTAGTCAGTGAGCAAAAGTCTTATTTCATCTTCTGTAGCAAACATTGAAATTCTTTCTCAAAATCATTTTCTAAATCTAATCCAAATATTTCTATCATTCGATAGAAATAGGATATTATTGGGAAAGAAAAATGCAGATTCCAGAAGGCATCCTAATATTTCCCATCTATCTTCGCATAGCGACGTCTTCACATTCCCATACACTGAACTTCTACATTCTACTCATATTCTCTAGAATAAATAATCCTGCTAAAACATATTCTCATTATCCTTTCTTTTTATCTTTTATGCATATCAAACTGATGTGGTCTTCGTATTTCCTGGCCGTACAATGCTGATAATTATAAATCACTAAATAATATTTTCCGTTCTTAGTAGACAGGAGTTAAATAAGCTTAGTCTGAGAACTTGTTTACATATTTTAAAAGCTTAAACAGCTTTTACATCACAAAATAAATAATTACACTAGTGATTTTTCACTTGAATATCGAAATTAATATCACAATTTACTTAACTATCAAACTTTGAATATGCTACTTACTTGATATTTTGCATACCAGCTTAGTGCAAAATACAACACTTGCAGATTAAATATTAATTAAGCCAATTTTCCATGGAAGGAGCATGGTAAGAGGGGAGTATGGAAAGAGGTGGCACGGAAGGAGAGGCGTCCGATATCCATGTCCAGGTGTCCAAGGTAGCCATTCCATTGACGGAAGACGCGAGCACTGTACCTTTACCATAGGGTGAATCAGTTCAGCACCGCGCCCCCCAAGATCTAGAGTAGCCAAAGAGGCCACATGAGAGCTGCGCACAGAGAGACCAAGCCCAACGCCGGATCCACCCAGGGCAGTTCAACGAACCAAAGGCCCATAGGGGACCCACACCCCGTCGCCCAGGCGTCAGATTTATAAAAGAAATATTTACATGGCCAAACAAGGGCATAGAGAGATACAATTAAGTACATTAATAATATATCAAGGATTGTACAAATTTAACAATAAGAGGTAAAGATTACAAGATTACAAGATAAAGCAAGTTACAGGAAAATGAGTACAGAACACAGAGGGCGTGTTATAAGTTAAGGGCATCACGATAAGACAGAATAGGCCTATTACTGGTTAATGACATCACAATAATACTAAATCTGAATCAAAATTAAATATATTAAATAGGCCAGAGTACATTAGGGAGGATAAAAGTAATGGCATGGGTACATAACAAATACAAATCAAAGATATGAGTGCATGTGAGTGATAGAAATATGAGTAAGTATAAGGGCAGTACACTATAAATGCGTTACCAATTCAGTATAGAACAATTCAGTATATGAGAATGCAGTTAATATTAATCAGCACATAACCGATACAACACAAAAAATAAATAAATAAATAAATAATATAAAAAGTCAGTATAAATCAGGTAATACAAAGTCAATGCGTAATAAATAGAATCAGAATGGATCAGCTCTTAACCAATACGAATAATATAAATATAAATAGTACACTACAAATGACAATATGCAATAGATAACATAAATCAAATTCAATGCTGTAGAAATGCAATCAAGATAAAACCGCACAGAACAAATACGAATAAAATAAATACAAATGCATTATAAATTCAGTATAGAACAAGTAATACAAATATAATAAGTGATACAAATTCAGTGCATAATTAATCTAATCAAGATGAACTCATATAAATGCAAAATATAACAGGTAATGTAAATTCAGCGCAGATGCGATACAAATTTAGTATATGAGAGGTAATACAATTCAGTATGTAATAAATGCAACCAAGATGAATCAGCATATATCCAGTATGAATAATATAAATAGAAAAATAAGGGTAGTACACTACAAATGTAGTACAGATACAGTGTATAACAATGTGATCAATAGAATTCAGCACATAACAAATACTGTGAATAGAAATATATACAGATTCAGTATATAATAGACAATACAAAGTCAGTGCATAATATATGCAATCAGAAATCAGCACATTATAAAAATGAAGAATATAATATGAGGATAAGGGCAGGCAGACACGACAAATGCATTACTAATTCAGTATGTAACAATGCAATCTATATAAATCAGCACATAAGAAATACAAATACTATTAAATATGAATGCAACACAAATTCAGTACAGAACAGATGCATATATTATGAACCATTACTTAACTAATACAGATGATATAAATATTAGTACAAATGCAATATTTGAATATGAGTGCAATATAATTCTATATGCTATTAAATATGCTATTATAATATGCTATTAAATATAAATGCAACACTAATTATTGAAGATAAATGCAACACAAATATGAATGCAACACAAAAATTATAATATGCTGTTAAATATGAATGCAACACAAATTCAGTACAGAACAGATGCATTTATGATGAACCAGTACTTAACTAATACAAATGATATAAATATGAGTACAAATGCAATACAGAAGAAACTGCAAATTAAGTATGCAGTAAATAATATGTGCAAGTAATAGAAATCACAGATAAATTGTGTTACATAGTGCAGCATAATTCGTATTACTAACAGTATTGAAACAACACTAGACAATAAATGACAACAACATACTAATTCAAAATGCAAAGGATATGGTAACAATACAGCTAAATTAATTGATAAATGCAGTAAATGAAACAATTTGACATATAATATAGAAGGTGTAGGAACAGCAAGTAATTAGACAGGTTGACATAAGTCGGTACCAAGATGCATAAGTTTTGACATGATGGCAGTCAGTTTCCGAACAAGATGTCGTTGTTTGATTAAAAACTTACTAAAAGCCTGCTGATGTTGAGCAGGAAAAGGGATATGCAGTTCTCGTGTAAGTTCACAAGAGGATACATAATGCTCAGGCGTACCCGCCTGGCCACAAACACATTGATCAGTTGATGTGATGTTAAAGCGGGCAAAATATACGGGAAAAGGCCCGTGACCTGTGACATATCTTACCAATTGTGAATTGGCAAGAAGACGAGTCTCATCAACATAGCCCAGGTGATAATGCGCTCTGCGGCCAGTATCCTCTGCATCCCAGAGGACCTGCCATTGCATAACTGACTGTAGGTGCAGTTTCCGAAGAAAATGTGATATGGGCCAAGCTAAAGGAGAATTAATAGCATCATCGTTCATGGCCGCTTGCTTAGCTAATTCATCAGCAAGTTCATTTCCAATTGTGCCCATATGAGCACGTGTCCAAAACATTTGAATATTAAGGTGAGCACCTAATCGAAGTAGTTCTTGAAGTTGCGAAATTATTATTGATGGATGCACAGGATTCATTGCAGCAGCCAAGACCGACTGACTGTCCGTTACAATGCAGCAGTTCAATATTTGATGTTCCAGAATATATTTAGTGGCATTGACGATGGCAAAGGCCTCTCCCTGGAACACGCTGTTATGTCCATGGAGATGTGCTTTCCATTGATGCAATAAAGTGCCATGGTGAAAAACTGCAAAAGCACAACCAGTATTATCTTCTATTTTTGACCCATCAGTGTAAATGTAATAATCACCATCAGGCAGTTGTGTAGATTCACGTAATGTTACATGAACACCAAGTCCATAAGCAGCTGGATGGAGACGTAGTCGATTGTAGGGTCGTTCATAATCTTCAGGAGAATAATGTTCGCCATAGAAGGTGACCTGTTGATTTAGCAATTTAAGTAGTTGTCGTGCTCCCTCCTGTTCCGTTCGGAGATGGAGAGGCAGAAGACCAGTTATTACTTGTAGGGCACTAGTTGAAGTCGTTCGAAAGGCTTTAGATATATTGAGAAGAAAAGAACGTTGGATTGATTGGAGAGACCTTACTTTACGGCCCTGCATTGGTTGACTCCAAACAGCTGCCCCATAGGTCACAATGGGGACAATAACCGTTTGGTACAGAAGTTTCTGTATATGGGGGTTAAGCCCCCACTGAAAACCACTCATCTGTCGGAGCCTATATGCTATGTTATAAGTTTTCTTTTTAATGTGCAAAAGATGTTGAGCCCAGTTCAATTTATCGTCAAAGACGATGCCAAGGTATTTTAACTGACGAACAATCTTTATTCTTTTATTATTAATATCGATGCGGGGTCGACGTGCCAGAGATCCACCCTTTTTCGGGATCAGGAGTATAAAAGATTTATCTTCAGAAATCTGTAGATTTATATTTAGACATAGTGTAGAAAAAAGGTTGCACGTTTCTTGAGCATGGCGTTGAAGCTCTTCTCTTGTTTTGCCACGGACAATAAAAGCGACATCGTCGGCATAGGCATAAGTAGATGTATGTGCAGGCCATTGTGCAGCTAGAATTTGATTGAAAGTGAGGGTCCATAAGTCAGGTCCCGCACAGGAGCCCTGTGGACAACCTCGATTCTGCATCGGACAAACGATGGACTTGACCATTATTATGGACAAAAATAAGAGAGCGTTCCGACAAATAATTGCTGAAGGTCTGGAAGAGATTAACAGGGCACTTGGCTTGTTGCAAGGCTTGAATAATGGCCGGCCACCACAAGGTATCGAAGGCGCACTTCAAGTCGACACTGATAAAGGCCGTGTGGTAGCCAGCCAGTTTATTCGTATATATGGCATCGGTAACATCCTTCAGAGCATGCAATGTGGTCTTACCAGCACGAAAACCGTACTGTCGATCGGAAAGAAAATTGGTGTTATGAAGATGATGTTTAAGGCGTTGTACTATTAGCCGTTCAAACACCTTGCCCATAGCAGACAAAAGGCAAATAGGACGGTATGATGTTGAGAGACGGGCATCCCTGTTCTTCTTCAAAAAGAGAATAACTTGACCAACCTTAAATTCAGGTGGAAACGTACCAGTGCGGAAAAGCTTGTTAAAGAAGTCACGGAAGAAGGATAAATTAGATAGATATAATAACTTTAATAATGCCATAATCCACACCATCCAATCCAGGTGCTTTCTTCTTTGGAAGATGATTAACTACATAAGAGATTTCTGAAAGCGTGAAGTCAGGATCTGGTGTATTATTAGGAGGAGATGTATTCCGGCGAATGTCAGCTTGAAGATGTGTATCTGCTGAAGCATCATCCATTGGGAAAATGTCATCCAGAAGGTTAGAAATCATTTCCTCCGTAGAGCAGATCGTAGGTGAGGCTTGTGATGGTGGAGGAAAATGCAAAACCGCAGGTTTGAATAATTTATCCGATGCTAACTTATGATGTAAACCATAAGTTTCGGTATTATTGGTGCAAAAATCACGCCAAGATTGAAGCTTAGCCTGTAGAATCATTTTTTTATATCGGGCGCGTTCGCGCCGGTAAACTTCTAATAGTCGGTCTGAGGTGCCGAGACGTCGCAATTGCTTGAGCTTCCGTCTCAAAGATCTGCATTTCTTTCTGCTGTTGTTGTCCTAAGGAAGAGTTCCACCAGGTAATTGATTGCAATTTCTTTGTATGTCGTTGCGGCAAAAGATCATTACAAATTGCCTGTATCGATGTCATTAGATGGACTGTGAATTCATTCAACTCCGTTGACGTCGTGCAACGATGCAAATGTGGAACTAAATTGCGAAGACATGCAGTAACACGACGACGAAAGACAGCAATTTTATGCCCAGGCAGCCGATAGCGACGGACAATAGATGTACTGGTTGTATGCTCTAATTGAAAGAGAATATACTTATGATCTGATAGGCCACTGATATCATCAACCGTCCAATTTTGTACATAGACAGCTGTTGGAGGCGTGGATATAGTGAGATCAGGCCATCCATATGTAGAAGCTTGTTCAAAGGTCGGAGGAGCATCAATAGTGTTATGAAGGACTAGGTTATTTGAGTTAAGAAAATCCTCTAGAAGACGACCTCTAACATCTGTTTGAGGATAACCCCATATTGTACTATGGGCATTAAAATCGCCCGCTATAATATTATGTGGCACTGGATAATGTTGCCGGATATATTCTAGAAATAGAAGTGCTGATTCCAATGACGCTGTTGGTGGAGAATAAATGGAATAAAGGATAATTTTAATATCAATTAATTCCAGTAATATAGCCACATGGTCACGATCAGTCTTGAGAACAAGTGGAGACCATAAGGGATTAAGAATTACGATTGCTGCTCTAGGAGGCTCTGCCTTATTTACATGTTGATATATCGACCAGCGTAGTGGAAAGCCCACAATCTTACCATCCCTCGTGTAGGGTTCTTGAACAATTAATATATCGGCTTTAGCATTAACTGCGTAATCAACAGCATGTGCAGTAGCAGCACGAGATTTTTGTAAATTGATCTGGATAAAATTAATACGTTCAAGAGCTGGAGTAAAATCTAGATTCATGGCAGAACTTTTGACACCAGAAGGAGTAGAGGAATTAGCATTACTGTGTGAAGGCAGTGTATTAGAAATTGTAGAAGAAGAGCTGGTAGAAGTACTTCTAGTATTGGGTGATACTTCGAATGTATTCTGCTGTGCGTTGATATGATGGACATTCTGAAGCATAGGTAGGGTGTCGGTAGTCATACAAGGTGCCATGATGGTGGTTGCTGTCTCGACAGTTGATACACTCCGGTAGTTCGGCGTGACAGTCTTTGAGACTGTGGGGGCCAGCGCAATAGGCACAGAACACGGTTGGTGATGTACAGCGCTCCTGCGTGTGCCCATATTGCTGGCACTTGTAACATCTGAGGATGCCCAGAAATTCCGAGATGGGAAGTGCATTCCAACCGAAGAAGAGCTTTCGAACTGCGATGACTGCCTGGAAAGTGGTGGAGTCACATTCGACAATCCAGCGTACTCTTTTAGGGGTACGTTCTTTAAGTTTTAAACAAAGGTCGGATTCCATTGTTTTGTATATGAGCAGCTGCACTTAATTCAGCTATCAAAAATCGTCAGATGAAAGATCTTCAGGAACGTTTCGAATCACACACCTGGGCTTACGACGCTGGCGACGTGTTACAGCAATGTCCAGATTTGTATCTTGAAGTTTATGTTCAAGGCGAGAAATGTCAGATGGAGATCGACAAAAGACTTCTAAACCACCTTGAGGAAGAGAAGAAATACGTTGGACAGCAACTTGAAGCTTATTAAGCGGTGCGTGAACCTGTAGGTCCTGACGCAGTTGAGCAGCTGTTTTCTTTGATTTGGATTTTATTATAATGCTAGGTTGTACTGGCTGTCGAACCACTTCTGCAAAAGTAAAAGGTGATTGGGCTGAAGAGACAGCAGATGATGCAGGTGCTACAGTCGAGGCAGAAGCCAAAGATTTAACAGGCGTGAGAACAGTGGAATCGTGTGTAGTTGCAATAGGCAGAGGTTGTTGATGCAGAAGTTCACAACACACCAAAGTAGAAGTATTTACTTCCGCGTCAGCTGTAGTCGGCGGAGGTATGTAATCCGGACCCTGTAAGGCAAGCTCTTTGAGAGCGTCTAAAGACCGGGTCAATTTATCTCGTAATTCAGATCGTAGAATATGCTTACCACCTCGGAATGTAGTAGCAATAGAGTGTATACAAGTGTACAATAGATTAACTTTATCACTATACAATTGTTCGGTAGTAATCAGTTCAAATGGGTCAAAGTCCTCAATAGGTACTGTGTCTACATGTGCAACAGATGATCGTGACATTGTTACACATATAAATCAAAATCTATATATATCGCATATAAATAAAAATCTATATATATCACTTTATAACACAAAGTATATAAGAACTCAAGCAAAAGTAAAAGAAAACTATGATGTTAAGCACCGTTACAACGATATAAAACAATAAAGTCTAATAAAACAATTAAATGACATAAGAAATACAGTTCATAAGGAATAATATAAAACAGTCAAAAAGTCAATAAATATGCTGAAAACACTATTTTTTTTATCAATATAAATGATAGAAAACAAGATTTCGACAAAAAGTTCTGCGTCTCGACAATGTTCAAATATTGACAAAAATGAAGTGCCAAAAGGACAAACCCTTTGGAGCTAACATAAATTAAAAGTAGAGTTAAGCCTAGTATACAGGGTGCAAGGTAAATCAGAAGTAGACATAAATATAAAATTTATGACCTAACTCGTTAAATATCAATGATACAGTTATCAGGTTCAATGTTCCGTCTTACTTTCTTTGGGAACATGCACAGACCTGACTCGGAACAGGGAGCTTACTAAAGCTATGTTCAATAACTGTGGGAAGTAGACAAGATACACAGGAAGGGTATACGAAGCCTTTATTTTTCACTCTTTACAATAATTTCCGTACTTCGGAATACAGAGACCAACTACTTGTGGTCTGAACGTAAGATATAAAAAATATAACTAAACTCTAACTTAAATTTGGAATAATAAACGTGGAAGATTGGCCTTATATTAACAGGAAGCCGTATGTAGTACAGAGAAACTGTTAACACTACAATAGGTTTTAAAATTATCAAGAGGATTAAACCTCTGGCCTGGAAGGCAACCAGCAACCGAGTAAAACTTCTAAGGCAAGCGGCCTGCTTCGACTAACTCCTTCCTCTCTCTCGCTTGGTAAAAAGCCACAACTTAAGTACTTGGCGTTCGCCAGACAAATTTTGCATAAATAAGTTAACGCTTTTAATTCTGGCCGGAAGTAGAAAATAAGAAGTGATAGTAAAGATTTAAAATAAAATAAACGTTAGTAAAACTTAAGATCCTTACACAGTAATATAAATATTATACAAAGAAAGAAATTCCAATTTTGATCATTTTGATGAAAACCATGTAAAATCAACATAATTAGGTGCTGAGAAATTAATTTTTAAAAAACAATTGACCAATTTCTGGACTTTGAAAAATTCCATCGAAAAAGTTAGGCCTACCTCGGTGCCACGTGTTTGGCCGGCGGGAACCTTCCGTAGGGAGGCGGCATTCGGCTTTAGGAAAATATCCCATTAAGAAATATCCTGACGCAATGGTTTAGTAAGAGGACCTATTCGAATGGCTACCTCCATTTTCAACAATCACAGTTTAACTTTTTGTTACATTTCGGATTTCAAATTAAGAAAAAAAAGTGTGAAAGCTTTCAGATTTTGTTTTATTCTCAAAGGGAAGTTCTCTTAACGTTTCGTGTATTATCTTTATTTATTAAATATCATATTCTTCGCACTTAAACCTCATACTATTCAATTCAACAGCAATATCACAAAGTATTTAAAAATGGCATATCTTTATAATTTCCGATACACAGTCTCGCACGCTGGAGATAAAAATATTTTATTCCCTACAGTGTTGCCATTGCTCGATTTAAAATCGTTTAGTTTGTCAATCAAAAATTTGTTAAATTTTTCAAAGTATGAAATAGATAATAAAACAAATTCCAAATTCGGGCTTTCAGATGCCCATGTTCGGGTGGAGGAATGTTTAAAATTTGGTGGCTCTAGGT